CTCAGATACTTAGTACTAGCTATAACCCTGGGCAAGTTATTTAACCCTGTTTGTCTTAATCCACTGGAGAAGGAAATGGAAAATAACTCCGGTATTTTTGCCAAGAAAATCCCATGGATAGTGTTGGTGTGATACGTTCCAAGGGGTTGCAAAGAGTTGGACGCAACTGAACTACAGCTGATAATTAATCGCTATGCGGTAATGATAAAATTATTTTACCTCATTGAGCCTGGACTTCCTCATCTGTAAAGTGGGAATGATAGTACCTGCAGTACCTATCTCACAAGGTTGTTGTGAGACTCAAATAAGATATTAAATGAGAAGTCTCGGGGAGGCAAAGCCAAGATGGCAGAGTAAAGGCAGGGACTCACCTGAGTTCTCCCCCAAACCCCTCTAAATACCTTTAAATAATGACTCTAAACAAATTCTAGAGTGGCAGAACCTACAAAAAGACAAAATGAAACAATTTTCCAGACCAAGACAGCTTAGAAGGTCAGCAAGAAAGGTCTGTTGCTCCAGAATGAGAAAAGAGCACAGGACGTACCAGTGAAGACCAGGCCCCAGTGAACCAGGAGCAGGCTGTGGGGAGACTGAATCGGTGGCAGTAGCGGCAGTTCCAGACCTCTCAGGCCACATACAGTAAGGGGATCAGACAACGGGCCAGAAGGAGATTTACAGAGGTCCTTTTGCTGGCACCAGGGGCAAGACTCTGTTTCATTGCCTATACTTGGATCTGGGTCACAGTCCCGGGTCTTAGTTCCAGTGTGAGGAGGAGCACTAGCACAGCAGAGCTTGCAGCCGCAGGGGAACAGAAACCCTAGTCACAATTCCAGAGTGGAAAAGAATGCTTATGGTGGCTTACAAACCAGTGCACAATACAGGAGAGTAGTAACACACCGCTCCCTAGATCATTCCACCTTGGAAGAGCCAAAAACTTACAAGTCCCCAGAATTACCTCTGAAAACAGCTGCACAAAAAACCTGAAGTTTGGGACAGTGCCCTCTCCACATGGGAAGCAGAACTTCACTTAGTGTGGAGTCAAGAAATAGGCTGGAAAATGAGCAAATACCTTTGACCCAGCAATAGCACTTCTAGGGCTGTATGCCAAAGAGATCATACAAATAGGAAAAGGACCCACGTGTGCAAAAATATTTATAGCAGCTCTTGCTGTGGTGGCAAAGAATTGGAAATTGAGAGGATGCCCATCAATTGGGGAATGGCTGAGCAAGTTGTGGTATGTGAATGTAATGGAATGCTATTGTGGTATAAGAAATGATGAGCAGGCAGACTTCAGAAAAACCTGGAAAGATTTGTATGGTCTGATGCTGAGTGAAGTGAGCAGAACCAGGAGAACATTGTACACAGAAACAGCCATGTTGTACGATGACTAATATTGATAGACTTAGCCCTTCTCAGCAATGCAAGGATCTAAGACATCTCCAAAGACCTCATGATGGAAAATGCTATCCACATTCAAAGAAAGAACTATGGAGTTGGAATGCAGATCGAAGTATACTATTTGTTATTTTTTTTCTTCTGTTGTGTTTTGTTTCCTCTTTCTGGTGGATCCTCCTATGGGTTCTAATTCTTACTTACAACATCACTAATGTGAAAATATGTTTAATAGGAATGTATATGTATAGCCTGTATCAGATTGCATGCCATCTTGGGGAGGGAGGTGGGGAGGGAGGGGGAGAAAAATTTAAAACTCAAAAGCTTATGGAAGTGGTTGTTGATAAATCAGAATAAATTAATAAAAATATATATTCAAAAAAAGGGAAAAATGAGCAAACAACAGAAAAAAAAATCTGACCATAAAAAGTTACTGTGGTGACAAGGGAGATCAAAACACACACTCAGAAGATGACAACAAAGTCAAAATTCCTGCATCTAAAGCCTCAAAGAAAAATACAAATTGATCTCAAGTCATAGAAGAGCTCAAAAAAGATTTTAAAAATCAAGTAAGAGGTAGAGGAAAAATTGGGAAGAGAAATGAGAGTTATGCAAGAAAATAATGAAAAAAGGGTCAGCAACTTGGTAAAGGAGACACAAAAAATACTGAAAAAATAACACCTTAAAAAAACAGAATAGGCTAAATGGTTAAAAAAAAAATCCAAAGAAGAATGCCCTGAAAAGCAGAATTGGCCAAATGGAAAAGTAGGTACAAAAACTTACTGACGAAAATAATTCCTTAAAAGATAGAATTGGGCAAGTGGAAGCTAATGACTTCATGATACATTGAGAAACAATCAAACTAAATCAAAAGAATGAAAAATAGAAGAAAATATGAAATAGCTCATTGGAAAAGCAACTTACACAGAAAACAGATCCAGGAGAGATAATTTAAGAATTGTTAGACTACCTGAAAGCCATGATAAAAAAAGAGCTATACATACTCTTTCAAGAAATTTTCGAGGAGAACTGCCCTGATATTCTAGAGCCATAGGCTAAAATAGAAATTAAAAGAATTCACCGATCACCTCCTGAAAGAGATCCCAAAATGAAAACTCCCAGGAATATTATAGCTAAATTCCAGACCTCCCAGATCAAGGAGAAAATAGTGCAAGCAGCCAAAAAGAAACAATTTAAATATGATGGAGCCAGAGTCAGGATAACACAAGATTTAGCAACTTCTACATTAAAAGATCGGAGGGCCAGGAATATGATTTTCCAGAGGGTAAAAGAGCTAGGATTACAACCAAGAATCACCTTTCCAACAAAACTGAGTATAATCGTTCAGGAGGAAAAATAGATATTCAATGAAATAGAGGACTTTCAAGCATTCCTGATGAAAAGATCAGAGCTGAATAGAAAATTTGACTTTCAAATATGAGATGCAAAAAAAGCATAAAAAGGTAAACTGGAAAGAAAAATCATAAGGGATTAAATAAAGTTAAACTATTTATATTCCTACATGAGGAAATGATACTTTTAACTCCTAAAAACTTTCTCATCATTAGGGCAGTTAGAAGACGTATACATAGACAGAAAGCAGAGGTATGGGTTGAATATGATGGCATGATAACTTAAAAAATCAAATTAAATTAAGGGATGAGGAAGAAGAATGTAGTGATAGAAGGGGAAAGGAAAAGGTAGAATGGGATAAATTAGCTGACATAAAAGAGGCCTGAAAGAGATTTTACAGTGGAGAGGAAAATGCGGGAAGTGGGAAGGGGAGAACATGAACCTTACTCTCATCAGAAGTGGTTCAAAGAGAGAATAATATACACACTTGGTTGGGTGTCGAAATTTATCTTACCATACAGGAAAGCAGGAAGGAAAGGGGATAAGAAAAGGGGGAGAGGGGGCAGCTAGGAGGTACAACGGATAGAGTTCTGGCCTTGGAGTCAGGAGGACCTGAGTTCAAATCCAGCCTCAGACACCTGACACTTGCTAGCTGTGTGACCTTGGGCAAATCACTTAACCCTGACTGCCTCACCAAAAAGTGAAGAAAAAAGGGGGGGTTGGGGCAGAGGGGAAGCTAGTAAAAGGGAGAGCAGTTTGAGGAAGGTAAGAGTCAGAAGCAAAACATTTTTGAAAACAGACACATTAAAAGGAGAGAGAGAGTAGGATAAACGGGAGAAAACAGGATGGAGGACATAGCTGGTAATCATTACTATGAAAAAAATTTATAGTGAGTTTCTCTGATAAAGATTTTGTTTCTCAAACACAGAAAACTGAGTCAAATTTATAGACATAAGAATCATTCCTCAATTGATAAATGGTAGAAGGATACGAACAGGCAGTTTTCAGACAAAGTAATCAAAGCTATCTATAGTCATATAAAAAATGCTCTAACTCACTATTGATGAGAAAAATGCAAATTAAAACAACTTTGAGCTACTACCTCACACCTGTAAGATTGGCTAATATGGCAGGAAAGGAAAATGACAAATGTTGGAAGGGATGTGGGAAAACTAAAATGCTAATGTACTATTGGTGAAGTTGTATACTGATTTAGCCATTCTGGAGAGCAATTTGGAACTATGCTCAAAGGGCTATAAAACCATGCATATCTTTTGACCAAGCAACACCGCTATTAGGTCTGTATCCCAAAGAGATAAAAAACAACAAGGAAAAGAACATATGTGTACAAAAATATTTATAGCAGCTCTTTTAGTGGTGGCAAAGAGTTGGAAACTGAGGGGATGTTCATCAATTGGAGAATGGCTAAACAAGTTGTTTTATATAGTTGTGATGGAATACTATTGTGCTTTAAGAAATGATGAGCAGGGGCAGCTAGGTGGTGCAATGGATAGAGCACCGGCCCTGAAGTCAGGAGTACCTGAGTTCAAATCCAGCCTCAGACCAACACTTGACACTTACTAGCTGTGTGACCCTGGGCAAGTCACTTAACCCCAATTGCTTTAAAAAAAAAAAAAGAAATGATGAGCAGGATGCTCTCAAAAAAACATAGAAAGACTTGCATAATCTGATGCAAAGTGAAATGGGCAGAACCAAAAGAACATTGTACACAGTAAGAGCAATATTGTATGATGATCTACTATGAATAACTTAGCTATTCTCAGCAAAACAATGATCCAAGACAATTCTGTAGGATTTTTGATGAAAAGTGCTGTCTATCTCCAGAGAATGAGCTGGCAGAGCCTGAATGCAGATCAAAGATACTTTTTCTTTATTTTTTCGGGGGAAAGGGTTGTTTGTTTTTTCTTTCGAGGAATAACTTAAATAGAAATGTGTTTTGCATGACTACATATGTATGACCTGTGTCTTTCTTGCCTCCTCAATGGGGAGGGGGAAAGGGAGGGAGGGGGAGAATTTGGAGCTCAAAATTTGAAAAAAAAAATGTTAAAATTGTTTTTAAAGTAATTGGGGAAAAATCAGATATTAAATAAGATTTTCTTAAAAAGAACCTCTCAAAAACGCCCCATATAAATGCTAGCTGTTATTATATTTGTTATTAACTTGTTCTCATCTCTTTCAATCATCTCACCATTACCCACAAATGTTCCACTTCCTTGATTAAGAGTTCTGAAATAGTGCTCATTTCAGCAGCACACATACTGCAACTGGAGTACACAGAGGAGATTAGCATGGCTCCTGCTCAAAGACAACACACAAAATCATGAGGCATTCCATATTTAAAGAATTCTGAGGTTCCTGTCATTCCATCTCTCCCTGGACCTTCCTCCTCTTCAACCTATTCTTCATCCTTACAGTGACCTTTAATCCCTCCACCCCTCACTGACCCTTGGAACCCACCTCTCTTTCAAAGCTCCCAATTACTGTAGAGGGCACTATAATCCTTTCAGTCTCCTGGTTTCAAAATCTCCCCGGTATCCTCATCTCCTGACTCTTATTCACCCATAGAGGCCTATTTATGTTGTCTACACGTTATCCTACATTTCCTGTCTCTGCAATTTTGCACTGGCTCATGCCTGGAATGCTCCATCTCCTCATCTCTACCTCTCATAATCCTACTTTCCTTCAAGATTCAACATAAGTACATCCTTCTACAAAACATCTTTCCTTTCCCTTTCATATAGATGCATGTATATATATATATATATGTGTGTGTGTGTGTGTGTGTATGCACATACATATATACATATATGCATATACACACATATATACATACACATATACACACATATATGTTCTTACTGGTGAGACATCAGACACATTCTTATATATATAGATCGATATATAGATGTGTAATATACATATATATGACCAAAAAATATATACACACATATATATGATGTATGTATATGTGTGTTTATGGAGAGATAGAGAGAGAGAGATGTCTGATATTTCACCAGTTAGAAGGTGACGACAAGGGGGTGTTTTTGTATTTTGCATGCACAGTTTTTGTCTTTTTATCCTGAGACATCTATCGCTATCCGAGGATGGGGTTGAAACCACTCCCCCTTTTTATTTTTTTACCTTTCCTACGTCAACTAGGTTAAAATACTTTTAGATGGAATCAAACAATGGGAACTGAGGAACAGGGCCTGTATACCTCTTTGAATCAATCAAAGCCATAGTGTAAGAGATTGGGTCATACCCTAAACAATTTGTAATAAAAGAAAGATGCTCTCTTAGAACAATTTTCTATTTCCAGTACAGTTTATTCATTGAATTCTCGAGGATATTTTGGGATCTGTATTTGTAATATGGAGATTTGTCTATTGGTATACAAAGTACAGAGAGTTTCTGGTATTTTGGCCACCTGATCATGCCTCTCTTTCCAGATGTTCAATAGTTATTAATCTACAACCCATAGTGAAATGTTGGAAAGTTTCTATTATTTCTTTGTATAATCTGCCCCCTGAGAAGCTGGGCTCTAATAAATGAGCTTTTCCCTTATCTTGTCCTGCGCTAGGCCTCTAGGCAGTTCCTGGCAGTGACATTCCCATCCCCAGTTATTTTTCATGTGTTATTCTTTTCTAGTTATTCTTTATGTGTTGTCTTCCCTCATTAGAATATAATCTCCTTGAAGCCAGGGCAAGAACTATCTTACTTGTTTGTATTTATATCCCCAGCACTTAGCATAGTACCTGGCATATCAGTGTCTTTTTATAACTACCTACTCTCCTGTCGGTCTGTCTGTCTTCCTCCCTCCCCTCCTCCCACCCCCTCTCTCTCCAGATCTCTCTATCTATCTATCTATCTATCTATCTATCATGTACCTAAATCTGATTTTTCTATGATTTCTGGGGGCAGTGACCTGGTCCTACCTTGCTACCATAAACCCCTCCATTTCATCAAACAAATTTGCCCAGCTTGGTCATTTACTCAAAGCTTATTTGTCAATGTAAGTTCATGTGGATGTTACCCATAGAGGGCCCTTTGATTCATCTCTTAGATCTTAGCCCTTTCATAGGCTCCATCTAACCAATATTGGCTACCTGTGATAAGTACAATGATGTGTACTTATTGTCTGTCTTTACTACTATTCTGTGAAGTGATATCTGTCTATATCAATCAATTAAGTACCTACTATATGCCAGGCACTGTGCTAAGTGCTGGGGAAACACAAAGAGGCAAAAGACAGTTCCTGCCTTCAAGAAACTTACAATCTAATATATGTTTTGGAAGAATTTCTGTACATTTTTAACCTATTTATCCCATACTCTGAGAACATATATCAATCGTTGTCCTCTTTTTAGATTATTATTATTATTATTGTTATTATTATTAGGAGAGGGAAGAGGAAGAAGAGGAGGAGGAAGCTAAGGAATGCAAAGGCCCATTCCAGAGCTAAAAACAGACCTAGGGACCCGGGAAAAAGCACTATTTTCATCCATATGAAAAGGAGTAGAGTGAGGGGGGAATATCTCTGGGCCAGGCTCATCTCCCTCCAGTCAATGGACTATGAAAAACTATCTAAGGCCTTCCTCAATTCCTCGATTTGGTACTACTACAGGTCCCCAGTGTGAACTGTTAGCTGACAGGAGTGGGGAACCTGCGGCCTCGAGACCACAGGTGGCCCTCTAAGTTCTCAAGTGCAGCCCTTTGACTAAATCCAACCCGTGAAGTTTGAATTTAGTCAGAGGGCTGCACTTGAGGACCCAGAGAGCCACCTGTGACCTCAAGGCCACAGGTTCCCCAGCCTGTGTTAGCACTATCATTCTCACCCCTTGGTGCTAATGTGAGATGTTATCAATATCATCATCACCATTGGACATTGCTCCCCCCCAACAATGAGCTGTACTCTTCATCGTTATCACCACTAAATGGCCCAGACTATACCTTTAATACCCCTAAAAGGGGTCAGCTTGGCACAGTGAAGTTACTTACTTGATGGTGTCTAGGCTGGAGCAGAACTGACAAAGGGTGGGTGGGTTTCCAGTTCCTTTCCGCAAAGAGAAATGGTCCTAAATGCAGAGTTGGAAAGTGAGAAACTAATTCATTCAGGCCCCTGTCTTGATCCAAGCATCCCAACACCCCTCCCAGTCCTACTGTCCTTTCAAAGCCCAGCTTCATCATACCCTCCCCCTTCTATCTGATCATCCTTCTGACCTACCCAGGCTGACCACCCCTCAATTCCCCAGTCTGAGCATTCAGTTTGTCTGCCTCTGGACTCCCCAGTCTGACCATATCCTGAACTTCCAGGTCTAACTCACCTTGGAAACCCCAATGTGACTGTCTCTTGAACCCCTAGTCTAATAACATTCTGACCCCTCCATCTGACTACCCTAGAGTATCTAGTCTGACCTTATCCTGACCCCCCACAGTCTGTCTTCCCAATATGACCACACCAAATCACCCCAATTTGACCATGCCCCAATCTCCAGTCTAGTTATCTCTTTGACTCCATTGTCTGATCATCCTCTTAACTCCAATCCCCCTCCTAATGCCCCAGTCTGATCATTCCAAGAACTTCCAGGCTGACCGTTTCCCAGACCCCAACCCCCTAACCTGACCATTCCTGAAATACCCAATCTGCCAATCCTGCAACCCAATGGTTTGACTAGTCCCTTCAGCAATCTAGCCTACCTATGCCCTTATCCCCTAGTCTGACTATCCCTAAATCTGTCCCTTAAATTTACCAATCCCTAACCCCTCAGTTGACTGCTCCCTGACCATTTCCTGACATCCCTGTTTACCCTACACAACATGCTAGAGGAATGGCTGGCCTGCCACTCTGACACCTGGGCTGGGGAACTCTGGGCCCTGGGAAATATAACTCCTTCTTTCCTAAAACGCCGATTAGTGCCCAATGTTTCTTTCTTTCTCTTTCTCTCCTGGGGACCATGAGGCTGAGTGACTCAAGGCTGAGAAATGATCCCTGAGTTGTGGAAAGAGGGAGTCACCACCATGACTTATGATGAGTATGGACCTCCTCTTTCCTAACTCCCAGAGCATCCCTACCCTTATAATCTAGGACAGCAGCCAGAACCAGGGGTCAGAAATAAGGAAAAGGCTCACCTGTGGAGGTTCCGGAGACGCTGGGCCCAGGGAACCAGGCTTCCGTGCCTCCGTCAGTGTTCTTCAGTCCCTTGGAGGGCCAAGTTCCATGGAGGGAAAGGCCACCTGGGTGCCAGGGCCTCAGGGTGGGGAAGGCAGTTAGGGGACAGGGTCTAGGCCCAGTCACCACTGCCCGTAGCTATCACCCTCTGTCAACGAATCTTTTTGTTGACTGGTTTCTCTGAAATGTGACCTATTTCCTTGATACGGAAGACAGGAAAGAAGAAACAACAGAAAGAGAAAACCACCCACCCAGATGTGGAGGGAGCAACTAGGCCTTTGAAGCTTACGTCACAAACTGCTGTGTATGGAGGAAAATCTTCAAGTGGGGGGAAGGCAGGAGTTTCTAGGCCCCAGGCCCAGAGGTTGCCTTAGTACCCTTCAGGGAAGGTCACTTATCACATGGTTCCTAGGATTCTACATCTAAAACTATAAAGGACCCCAGAGGCCATCTTTTATTACAGAAGAGGGGGAAGTGACTGGCCCAAGGTCATGCGTGGAAGGTCAGTTTTTCCACTCTAGAACAAGCCTTCATAACTCTTTTTGTGTCCTGGTTCCCGTTAGCAGCCAGTATGCTGAAGCCCACGGACCCCTTCAAAGAATCAAGTTTTTAAATGTATAAAATAAAATGCACAGGACAACAAAGGAAACAGATTATGTTGAAGCACAGTTCTAAAAATATTTTTTACAATGCCAAGTCCATGGAGCCCAGGTTAAGAACCCCTGCTTAGAACCAGTATTATTTACACTATATCATATCAGGCTGCCTCCTCTAGGAAGGGCAAGAACTTGGCCTCCCTGCACCCCAAGAGCTCCCCCCGCCCCGGACACCATGATTATACCAACAACCAAAGGAAAGGGGGCATCCAGAGCTCGTGGCAGGACTGAAGTCCACTAACCATCAAAGACTCTAGCCCTCTCACAAGAAGGACAAGAAAGGCACATCTGTACCCCTCGAAGGCCACTGCCTTCAGCCAGTTGGCTCCTAGTTAGGGAAAAACCTGCAAAACTTGACCAGACTTAAATCCACAGCTGGTCCACAGTCACCAGCCCCCGGCTGTCTCCTCTTTAGAGCAAAATGTTACTGATGGACTTTTCTATCACTCTCTAGAGACCTACTAGAGACCAGGTTCAGAAGGACCCAACTTGTCCTGGAATCACAGAATGTCTGG